TGCTGCTTTGATGCAAAAAGCCAAACGCTTTTTCCAAGTCAATGGAAGTCATGTGACAAAGCACAAGTTAACCTCAGCTCAATCAAATAGCCGTTTTCTATAAATTTTGTATTTTAATTCATTTACAATGTCATATTAAAACACGTCGGAAGGATAATTTCGTTGTAGCAGGATCACAAAGGAAACATGGAGTGTCCCACGTTAGGTTTCAGACCAGTCACCTCCGGCTCGTGGTATAGAACTGAACGCAGAACGCATTAAACCTCATTTACCCCTCATGATCCTGCTACAATTTATAGTGTATCCTGTCTTGGGAGGGAAATAAATTTCTGAGCTGGAGAAAAATCCCTTATACCCCACTTTGATGCAAAAAGCCAAATGCTTTTCACAAGTAAATGGAAGTCACGTGACAAAGCACAAGTTAACCTCAGCTCAATCGAACAGATGTTTCCCATAAATTTTGAATTTTAATTCATTTACAATGTCATAATAAAACATGTCGTTGCAGCATCGTGGTACATGGGGTTTTATGCGTCCCTCACTAGGTTTTATAGCACAAGCCGGCGGCTGGTTATCACCTGATAATATACTTACTGGTGGACCCTTGGTTCAATGTTGTGAGAATGCAGTGCACTGTCCTTTAATGCTGATGTAGTATAACAGATATGTTGACTAGGAATATCTTCTTGTCTTATTTGACCCGTGAAGATCTGGGGCAGAATAGGTCTTCAGCAACCCATGCTTGCCGTAAAAGGCGACTATGCTTGGCGAAAGAGGCGACTAAGGGGATCGGGTGGTCAGGCTCGCTGACTTGATTGATGCATGTCATCGATCCCAATTGCGTGGATCGATGCTCCTGATATCAGTCACTGGATAGTGTGGTCCAGGCTTGATTATTTACAGACCGCCGTCATACAGCTGGAATATTGCTGAGTATGGTGTTAAACAACAAACCAACCAATCTGGTCTTATTTGCAAACCTGATATACAGTCGAACCTCGTTGTGTTGGATGTGTTTAATTCCTGGTTGTCTCAAACTCTCCTTCCAGTCACTGCATGTTCCATCTATACTCATAATCTTTTATACACAGATCTTTCAAAATTTCTCGGTTGTCAAGAATTCATATATGGGAATGTATGGTTTGAGCTGTGACTTATAAGGTTGTCAGAAGTTCATGAAAATCAGTATTGAATTTTACAAATAAACGAATTAATTACCTTAAACGATTTAAGGATTGACTGTGTATTTTTTTCAGTTCATTGAGGTATGAATCGAAAAACCGATGTGCAAACTGTATGAATTTCTTCACGGCCTTTGTTCTCAAAGGGTTGTTTGGACAATGAATATGCATGAATTTCGCTAAATGTCCTGTGCATGACTATCGATACCCTTAAGCAGAAAGGGAATTCCCTCAAATGTAATTTTGGGATTCCCCGACATTCCATAGTAACGAAAGTAGTCCGCCTTGGTGGGCGTGGCTTACTTTTACATTCATTGGGAAATGAATGCAATAACAAATGACCAATTCAGCTAATCAGAATGCAGGAATATCAATGAACACAAGAAATTATTAATTATTATAACATGATTGCAACCTTACAGTTGTGTCTTCACAAAGTCTGTTATCACTATGTGCAGCTAGGGAAACAGGCATCTCCTGTGACAGTCTGTATTCACAGAACCTTGATGTGACTTTTATTGCTTTTATTTCGCATGTTGAAATGTTATGTTTATTTATGGTGATCCCTGACATTTTTTTATCAAAGATGTTTCAAACTTACGAGGAGCACTCCAGTTTACTGTTTGGCCGAAGCTATTAAAGTGCTTCAATCGCTGAAACCAACAAGGCTTTTTCTAAAATTACCACCATTCAGGTTTGCAAATCTGCATTCAATGCATAGATAGATATTTGAATTTATTCCTTTCTGACGAGTCTTGATCAGTGGGTGATCGAGGCACAACCTTATTCTGTATCATTCGCTTTTATTAACACCCTCACTGCCAGCTTCACTCAAGGCGACATAAACTTTATTCTGATCTCAGATCTTTTACTCCGATATGATACCTTTCTGTGTGAAGCTTTTAGGACACTGCCAGGGATGGTCATCTCAAGTGCACTTTCTGAGCTGCCAGTTAGCGTCAAGGGTAGGGCTGGGACAGGTAACTCGGTGCCCGGGTTAGGTGGGTACTGAGTAGGACCCGGGTACCCACTGGGCTACCCAGACACGTGGTTAGTCACATGATATTTTGTTTAGTGACAAAAATTATCTAGAACCCTATGGTTACACTACAAGTCACAAATGTTTTGCATTTCTTTCTGACTATGCACCCATTCCTTCTGACTTTTTATATGGCTGAATAAAAAGATAAGTCAACTTCAGTGCATGCATGACCAGATTGTTTGATACATGTATCTAAATACATTTTGCCAGGGGTATGGTAAAAAAAATTCCCAATCGGACATTTTTACCTATCTCTTGAGGCCTACAGTGGGTACCCGGGTGGGGTCGGGTAATAGGGGGGTGGGTACCCTGGTAGTAAATTTGGCCTCGTCCCAGCCCTAGTCAAGGGTTATAAATTCCAGGTACAAGTGATCAAGGCATTCAGCCCATCAGATTTCTGTATCTTGAAAACAAAACATAATGACAGTTCAAAATGTCTAGAAATAAGGAAGCACACATATTGTTGTGGATGTTTTATATACTCTGTTGTTTCGGAGCAGCATAGCAACTTCACCCAAAAGAGAGTATGATTGAAGGAATATTTGTGTTCTTTACAAAACAAAATTCCCAAATCGAGTTGGTTATGAAATGAAACCATATCATTTAAGATGATTCGGATTTGTTTCTTTAACACCTTGATTTGAAAATTTTGTCTAAGCAACAGACACCAGGGCCCCGTTCTACGAAGCAATCTTAGTGCTAAGGGGATCGTAACTCCCATACTTTAACATAGGCTTATGATAGTCGTTGCACTTAGATTGTCGTAACTCCCAAACTTTATAACATCATACTTTAATATGATAGTTGTAGCGCTAAGATGGTCCTAACTTTCTTACTTTAACAAAGGTTTATGATATTCATAGTGCTAAGATGATTGTAACTCCCATACTTTAAAATCATCCTTACGACAGTCGTAGCATTAAGGCTGCCTAGTGGAGTTCGTATGATCATAAGTCTGATACTTTAACATAGGCTTACAATAGTCATTGCACAAAGATTGCTCTGTGGAGGGGGCCCCGGGTGTATACATGAAAGATTTTAGTGATTTGAATCAAATTTGCTGGCACTGCCACTTGAGCCGAGGCTAGTCCCCAGCCCTTTAATTGCCCTCCCATCTCAAATCATATTTGATATCATCTCTTGTTATCGGCATTATTGTTTGTATTCCACATGAAGCTGTTCTCTTGGGGAGTTGTTAGTCTGTGATCGTTTCCAGGAGAAAATCCCAGCAGGATTGCTATTGATCCTAATGTCTCAGTGCGATCCCATTGTGTGTTAATTTGTCTCATAGAATGCCATTCTGATCTTCCAAAGTCCTAATACTGTGGCAAAAAAAGTAGGTTTCAACCACGAATGAGAGTTCATCTTGCAGTAAAATTGTCTTGGATGTCCACAATTATCGCAGAAAAACTCTGGCTTATTACACGACACTACCTTCCAGTAACAAACATTTCTTTAACAGCCAGCTGGGGCAGTTTGAAAAATGGGAGTAAGTGTGAAATTTCTGCAGCATGGGATAGCCATTGAACTTACAGAAAGCTGACCATTTTCACTTGTCTATGGCTAGTATCAGGTGCTGGGCCTGCATCCCAGTGAGATTACATTGGTGATTTCTAAGAAAAAATTATCAGTGATCTATGAGAAAAAAGGACAGGACTCTTGTTGCTGGATTGAGTGTGCTGGGGTCATTGAATCAGAGCTCATCTGACCATGAACAACTGACGCTGATGGTCCTAAAAAATACCTGATTGTAATAAAGGTGCTTATAGAGGAGACAGACCTGGTGCTTCACAAGAAAATGAGGGTCTAATTCAGGGGAGGATTGCTAATTTGTTCACAGTTGTTCCTGAATCCGTTCTCTAACGTTAATAAAATATGTTTAGGTCGATCTATTTCATTGATTTGTTAAAGGAAAATTAAATTCACTGCCTTTGTGTGATTGTACTTTCTTAAACACATGGGCAGGCAGTCGGAGGGTGATATTGTGTTACTGATTGGCAGTGTTGTGGTCATCAAGACAAAGATGAAGAAGAATGATGATGCAGGTGATGGATGATGATGATGATGATGATGATGATGATGAAGATGGTGGTGACCAAGAGAATGCTGATGCTTATGATGATGAAGGCAATGATATCAAATGGTGGTGATTATCATGATACTACCCAAACGTGCTGCTGCTGCTGCTGATGATGATGATGATGATGATGATGATGACGATGATGATGACAAATCTGAAAATGATGATGAATATAACAATGACAAAGATGTAAGACTTATATAATGATATTGACAGAAATAGGAAAATGAAAGTTGTGTAGATGAATATGCACACCATTTTCACATAACTGAAGTGTTTGAATTTTTTTGAATGTTCCCATGTTGGGTGAATGCATCTCTTGTGCATCTGTTACATAATTTAGGGCTGTGTATGGTGTAATATGTCAGATCATTTGTTGGTTTGTTGTTTAACACTACACCCCGCAACATTCCAGCTAAAGGACAACAATCTGTAAATAATTGAGTATGGACCACACAATCCAGTGATTGACATCATGAGCATTGATATACACAGCTGGGTTACGATGACATGCATCAACAAAGTCAGTGAGCCTGACCACTTAATCTGGTTAGCTGCCTCCTGACAGCTTTAACCTCTTTGAATCAGAAGGCCTGTGGTGCGACACTACAAACATAGTGTGAACATAATATGATGTGCTACGTAACAAGTCCCAAAATAATGAAAGTGCTTCAGTGCAGATATTTCACTTTTAAGAATGATGTTCCAAACCCAAGTCCTCGATCCAAACCCCAGCCCTCCCTCCAAACCCCAGCCCTCGATCCAAATCCCAGCCCACAGTCCAAACCCCAGCCCTCGATCCAAACCCCAGTCCTCGATCCAAACCCCAGCCCTCCCTCCAAACCCCAGCCCTCCTTCCAAACCCCAGCCCTCGATCCAAATCCCAGCCCACAGTCCAAACCCCAGCCCTCGATCCAAACCCCAGCCCTCGATCCAAACCCCAGCCCTCCCTCCAAACCCCAGCCCTCGATCCAAACCCCAGCCCACACTCCAAACCCCAGCCCTCCCTCCAAACCCCAGCCCTCCTTCCAAACCCCAGCCCTCTATCCAAACCCCAGCCCACACTCCAAACCCCAGTCCTCGATCCAAACCCCAGCCCCCCCTGAAACCCCAGCCTCCTTCCAAACCCCAGCCCTCTGTCCAAACCTCAGCCCACACTCCAAACCCCAGCCCTCGATCCAACCCCAGCCCTCCCTCCAAACCCCATCCCTTGATCCAAACCCCAGCCCACACTCCAAACCCCAGCCCACACTCCAAACCCCAGCCAACGATCCAAACCTCAGCCCTCGATCCAAACCCCAGCCCTCCCTCCAAATCCTAGCCCACACTCCAAACCCCAGCCAACGATCCAAACCCCATCCCTCGATCTAAACCCAAGTTCTCGATCCAAACCCCAGCCCTCCCTCCAAACCCCAGCCCTCGATCCAAACCCCAGCCCTCCCTCCAAACCCCAGCCCTCCCTCCAAACCCCAGCCCTCCTTCCAAACCCCAGCCCACGATCCAAACCCCAGCCCTTGATCCAAACCCCAGGTCTCCCTCCAAACCCCAGCCCACACTCCAAACCCCAGCCCACGATCCAAACCCCAGCCCTCGATCCAAACCCCAGCCCTCGCTCCAAACCCTAGCCAACACTCCAAACCCCATCCCTCGATCCAAACCCCAGCCCTCAATCCAAACCCCAGCCCTCCCTCCAAACCCCAGCCCTCCCTCCAAACCCCAGCCCTCCCTCCAAACCCCAGCCATCGATCCAAACCCCAGCCCTAGATCCAAACCCCAGCCCTCGATCCAAACCCCAGCCCTCCTTCCAAACCCCAGCCCTCCCTCCAAACCCCAGCCCTCCTTCCAAACCCCAGCCCTCCCTCCAAACCCCAGCCCACACTCCAAACCCCAGCCCTCCCTCCAAACCCCAACCCTCCCTCCAAACCCCAGCCCTCGATCCAAACCCCAGCCCTCGATCCAAACCCCAGCCCTCCTTCCAAATCCCAGCCTCCCTTCCAAACCCTAGCCCACAATCCAAACCCCAGCCCTCCCTCCAAATCCCAGACTCCCCTCCAAACCCTAGCCAACAATCCAAACCCCAGCCCTCCCTCCAAACCCCAGCCCTTCCTCCAAACCCAGCCCTCCCTCCAAACCCCAACCCTCGATCCAAACCCCAGCCCTCCATCCAAACCCCAGCCCACACTCCAAACCTCAGTCCTCAATCCAAACTCACTCACTCAAACAATCACACCTTAAAAGTCACGTCACTTTAAACATATCAAACTGAAGATTTAAGTTTTAATAAGGAGACAACTCAGAAATCTGGGAATGCTTTTCATTGTCACTGTTCCAAAACTATCGTGCATCATTGGTATTCTGGTGGGACAACTTTTAAACAATTTGTCTGGAAGTCTGTTCTTGGATGTAAGTGGCAGATCTGCTTGGGTATTGCGCCTTCAGTCCTCTGCCTCAAGACCGATATGTGAGATGTTTTCTAAAAACTCGGCGGCTGACTCAGCCATTTTGTCTCGATTTGATTCTGACAAGCAAATAATGGTTCCTGAAGAAAGCGTTTTTTATTGTAGTATAAAGTAGCAAGGAACTTTTTTCCAGTCAAATCCATGAGGACAAATAAGTTTTTTGTATTTTATTCTGTGAAGTATTTATTGAGATCCAATTAAGCCAGCATGAGGAGACCAGGCGAGATGATCTCAGCGGAGGCGCTGACAGTCAGCACATTTCTTATCCTTTCAGAAGAGGGGACATTGATTTCATCCGTGATTGAAAACATTAAAAAATTGGTGAATTCTTGCAGATATTGCACAGAAACTTTCAGTGAGTTAAAGGTTCTGGCTCTATTATAAATAGCTGTTGGAGGAAGTATTTGAAGAAAATGTGATTAATTTGAGAATAAAACATAAAATCCCTTTCGGTTTGCAGATTTATTTTGTAGGATCAGTAGACAAATAGAATGATAAAAATATCTTTTAAAGTGATCTTCTACAGGTGCTCGCTCATTCTTCTCTCAAACAAGCGTGCAACAACGCATGCCCATACACGGACACAGACATTCAAATAAGAGTTTAGACCAGAATGTTTTAAGCCTTTGGTCCTCCCCCACTGAAGCACATGACTTTGTAGAGTGCCTCTGTTCACCAAGTTAGGAGGAGATGGCACCTCTCAGGCAGCTTGGGTTGTATACTCCTCAGGGAGCTGAAAATGAAAATCGTGTGCACACTGGACCAGTAACTGGGGTAATAATAAGATCTATCATGGTCCAAGCATATTTCAGCAATTATTAATTGGAAAGTGCACTTTACAAGCTCAAAATATAATATAATAATAATCTACTTAGAGAATAACCATTGAGCTTCAAGGAATTTAAGAGTGGAAGACTTACAGCATTTATTCACAAAGGACAGACAATCTGTTATTCAAGTAGGTTATTCTATATACATGTATTAATCGTTTCAAAAGAGAAAATGAAGGAACAATTCAGAGAATCTTCACTGAGGACAATTTGTGACAACATGAATGAATTTTGCATTATCATATTTTTCTCAACAATGAAGCACTGTGACATCATATGGCTTCAATTGACCAATCAGCATTGAGAATTGCTAAAATAGACATGTGACAATATCCGAAAGTTTTACACACAATCATCCTACCCTAAGGGGTAGTATGTATTTTTGATGGAACGTTTCTCCAAACAAACAATTTGTTAATCCAGAATTTGTTTCAATGGACAACGTACCTTCCAGATTTACGAGGTTTTAGTGGACAGAATATTGATCTTGTTTTGCACAAAGCAAGGAATTAAGTCTTGCCTTGATATCAACCAGCCTAATTGAATGCTTGCTTAAAATTGTGTATTTTCTTCACAGCAGGCAATAATTCTCCCACACTCTCTGTCAACACAACTAAAAGTGCACCTTTCTGTTCCTGTTTCCATGGAAATACATTGATATGCATTATGGGTGACTATCAACATCTGCTGAAGCCTGATATGCGAATATGAAAAACAAGTCAAAGCCTGAAGAATGGGGCAAAGATGTCCTGCTGTGCAGAGGTAAAGTTTGTCTTCCAATTATGTGGAGTTGTTTCTTTACGTAGCCATTGATTCAAGGAAACTGAATCTCTCCTGGGAATATGAAAAACAATTTCAAGTTGTGGACAATTTATTTTTTCAATTTTGGATTAATACACAAAGTATTTTGTCCATAATGAAATGAAGAGGACAAGTGATTGGAATTTCTATCATTTTCAAGTTGACAGTACTAACCATTGGGTCATAGATCTAAGGGGAGATAATTTAATGCACTAATGGTTAGGCAAAATCTTCTTGCTCTCTGCGAGTGTGACTCGTAATTGAGGGAGAGTTTGTCAGGCATGATCCTTGTTGCCTTCAGTTTAAATCTGTGTTTGGATGAGTTCCTAGTATACCGTCTAGTTAAAAGGACTGACCAATGGGACCTAATTCAGAATAGGTCCCCTGCACCCCAGGTTGCTAGATTTGATGAGGAAATCATGCTCTGCATATTGGCTTATTTGTCATTGTGCTGCAGTAGTGTAGATCGATGCTCATGTTTTAGAAGTCAGTGGTTTGTGTGGTCCAGATTATTAACAGGATGCTATGAGGGCAATTTGAGGCCTTTTTCGACCTTACTTATGTCTTATCCAGTGTTCCAATTAAGCACCTGCCTCTCGGCCCATTACAGGTAGATCTCGTGCCTGGCCTGTAGTTTCAAAGTTGTGTGGGTCCTTTTGGCCTGCAGTATATTTACTTGTCAATTTATTTGTCACAGTAAGCTGCAGCTTTTATTAAATGAGGGCCTGCAGAGTTTAGTCAGCTCCTGAAGTCTGTGGGTCCTGATAACAGCTTGGCAATTTGTTCTATTTCAAACACTGGTCTTATCTATTTGCCAACTGTGGATTGTGTTTCCTTGTGGTAAGGGGCAGAGTGGCCCAGTCGACTAAGGTGCTGCGATTCACTGGGCAGAGTTGCGTCCCTTGGGCACGCCAGTAAACTATGATTGTGGGTTCGAATCCCGGTTCACCCTGATTATGTTTCTAGGTTTGTCAGCACCATACCCGTGCTTGTGGGTTTCACCGAAGTGGTAAACGTCTGAGACCTGCATCACTTCAGGCTTTCCTCCCACATTAAGCTGACACCCCGTGATATAACTTGAATACTGTTAAAAGCGGTGTTAAACCCAACTCATTCACTCACTCACTCCTTGATTTAAGCACCAAATTCCTGCCAGTTTTCAACATTTTTTGGATTCAAGAACGAAGACACTTCTGTTTTAAAACTTTTGACAGGGATAAAATTCTGGACATTTGTGAGTTCACTATATTTAATTTTAGGACCTGTTCCTTGGTGTTGCTACCATGTAATTTACCCATTTCATTGCCTGTTTTTATTGTGAACCTAAACCTAATATAATTTACTGATTATTTATATATTGTGTGGTCATTGACTGATTTCATAATTAGTTCTGTACATACTGATTTATAGGTTAGCCTTTGCCTTTCAACTTGGAATTCACCTTGTAACTCTTTGTAAACCATGAATCGTATCAGTAGGACTTCAAGAGTAGAGGCCTGATTGGGTTGATTTGCCAGTGGTTTGGTCTCGCATCTTGATCAGTGCAAATGGCTGGTCATTTCCATAGTACGAGTTTTTAATTGATTTGATTTATGTCCATTTATATCGGATGTCATCTGGGGAGGGGAATGTGAGTGGTTTATTATGATTAGACTATAATGGAGCAATTGTTCGAAAATTTAGTATCACATTTAACGGAATGTATTATTTCTGTTTAAAGATTCTGTTCAGCTGCCAATTATTTTCATGATGACCAATATAAAAGAACAGATTTATGTTACTGGACTGACGATTGTTCGTTAAGATCTGATGTAGATGAAAGGAGTGTGTCCGGATTGGTTTATTTTTGAGTGAGTGAGGAAGTGTTTGCTGCTTTTAGCAATGTTTGATCCATATCGCAGGCCCGCTGGAACTGTTGAGGGGAGCTGTTTACTTTGATAAGGAGGAAGAAGGTCCTTATTTTAGTTTTGTGCCTCGAGAACACAAGGAATCAGCTTCACATATTGTACCCATGTGAAAAATGAAAACTTGGTCTTTGATGCAAGATCGCCTTTGTGGTATATTGGACAGAGCATCTGCCCTCAGAGTGGATGATTGGTGGTTTCGATCTGTCTTCATTATTCCAAAAGACTCAAATAATGATACTGCTCTTGGCTTCCAGGAGATGAAACAAGGAGTAGTTAGCTCAGAGTCGGTATATATGTAAGCTGCCACACGTGCATGCAAGCTGC